ATGAGCCCACTTCACGCCCCAAGATTAACCTCCTACACAAAGACACCCAAACACACTTTTATCATATAAACAGTCAGTCTATTGCTGGTATTCTGTTTCTGATAATGTATACAACTGCTGATTAAAGTAATAAATGTATCACAGTAAAAAATATAACCAATGTTATTTCATCATTTTTCATCATGTCTATAGTGGATAGTGTAATGTTAATGTGCACCTTCCTCATTTTATGATGGAAACACATGGCAAATTAATAACTGCAATATAACCGTCATGATAGAGAAACAAACCCCCCAAACATGTTTCACTGACTAATCTCCAATAAAACTAATGCAGTCCAATTAATGAATAACTTTCTTAACAGCGCTCATTTTTCATGTATTTTCACTGGCCTGATGTTAAGAAACAAAACTAAATATGAACAGAACAATGTAGCTATCAATAAATCAATCGAGTCAGTGAACCGGGTGTTGGAAATACTATATAAAGAATTCTATAGCATATGGCAAACAGTCAAACACAATCCATTAAAAACTATACAGGGAAAATAATACAGATAGCTGAACCAGACAGTCAACAAGAGGAGGGAGCAACTTTCACATACTCGATCATTAGCATCCTCCAGCTTGATCTAAAAACTCTATATTTGGATAATTTCACTGTTTATATCAGCACAATATGTTTTCAAGCTTTCTTCATCCTCATATCATGACTAATATTATGATCCAGTTTTTTATGTTTGAAGAATTTCTGTCACGTGTCATTGTTATTTAAAATGTAATGGTCTGCAACAGCACCTCATTCAGGATGGTAGTAGTGGTCGTTTGGGCCACACTTTTGATGCAGACATAAATTGTGAAAATGCATGTTTACTAAGTTTCGTACAGACATTAAGGTCCTGATCAGTCCCTTTTGCACACTTCTGTGTAACACCATAGTCACTGTTTTTATTTCTCCTTTCTAAAACTGCACATTTTGTTATGATATTCCTGGAGTTTCCTGGATGAATTCTATTTTTTCCCAATGGGTGGAAGGGTGTTAATGAATAACCAATAATACAACAGTGTTGCAACATGATGTCCATGATAATAGAGGTATCTCAATGCAGCAGTTATCCAGTACTTTGCACTACATTGCAATGTTTTTACAATACATTGCAATTCCTGTGTAGCTTAAATTAATGAGCTATCTGATTCGCGTTCACTCGCTCTCATTTACAGTACTTTGCCCCTTCAAGTTTCTTTTTCATTAGGCCTCAGTCACATACAGAGACTTGTTGGCGACCTACTGCCAACCTCCGGTCACTAGAGTGTATCCCCCAGCCGGTTGGCGAGGGGTTGCAGGAGGTTACTGGGTGTTGAGGAGTGAGAACAGCTGCAAAGAGAGCGCTGCACCAAAAGCCTTCTTGTGATTGCTTTGATCGCTAGCAGATTTCAGTGGTTTGCATGCAAGATGCCCACATGTCTGCAAATAGTTGCTGAGTAACCACTGAGTACTAATGAAACTTTAAAAAGTCCAACACAGACTTGAAGCTTATATATTAAAAGTGAAAATGTAACTAATTAAAAAGGTGCAGCTTTTACTTTGAAGGCAGATGGTCTCCATTTCTGGTTTGTGTTGCGCTCTTGACAGTTTTACCACAGCTTGACAAATGCAACTTTAAAATCAGGCAGCATTATTATATTTTATTTATTTACTTTTTTCATAACAGTGAAACAAAAACACTACTTGCAGTCCCATCCAAAATGCACTGCTTGGATCAGGTGAAGTCGAAACGAAATTATTTATATTGGAACTGGTGTAACGCTAGCAGCTCTGTCAGTGGTGGTAACAGCTGTAACTGCAGCAGCATGAACCCACGTGATGATTTGAATGACCAAACATTGAAAGAAACCACAACCAGGTACGTTTTCTGCCTCAGCACAAAGTCCAATTAAGCTATCAGAGCTTGGCAAGTGTGATGAATGGAAAGCCTGGTGTGTGTGTGTCTGTGTGTCTGTGTGTTTATTTTATCATTAGGGTATCACCATCCTCAGAGAAGGGCTATTTTCTATTATGCAGTTAGCACGTATAGCACTGAAGGAGCAAATTGGATTGGTATTACAGTATGTACGCCCGGCGCTACATCCTGATGAGCGCCGACAAACAAATTGGATTGGTGGTGTGTAAATCTGAAGCAGTTTGATGAGCCGAAGGGGCAAATTGAATTCTCAACAATGTAAATCTGTATCAGCTCAATGGCTCCCCACCCATTCGGAGCCCTGCCGCCACTTAAATCATGCGATTGTTCCCTGCTGTTCCAAGATACAATCTCTCTTAGCCATTTGCTGCAGCACCTAATCTGTTTTTGATGACCGTGTAGGGATGTAGCTATACATATGGGCAACTGAATCTCCCCCACGCTCATTCTTTCTTTTCATTTCCCCCTCTCTCTCGCTCAAACACACACACACAAACACGAGCCCTACAGTTGGCAGAGAAAGATTGCTTTGATTGAGCCATCCATGTGTGTTGATTCAAGAGATTACTCAGATGATTGGTCATACTAATGGACCTCCTGTTTTCTTGGGAAAACATTTTGATCTCTGTCTGTGAGATAACATCTCATATTTATTACTCCTCCAAGCCCTGTTGATTCACACGGATCATATTTATTGCTTTCCTTATTGGCTTTTTTTGTGCAACACTTTTCTATAAAATAAAATACGACACAGTTACCCTGTATAAAATATAGTCAAATGCAAAATACGATGGCAAATCATTCATGTTCCCTGGTTTTAACTAATGTTGCAACGCATCATGTCTTGATGGAGAATTGTTATTGTTATTAATTTGATGCCACTAATGCATTTTAATAGAGCACGGGAGAGATGAGAAAAGCTTAAAAAACAATGAATTTATACATGTTATGCTATTTTTTTTAAAAAGCAGTCTAGAGACATTTTATCTTTAAGATGTAAAAAAATATATAAACGACATCCAAAGTGTGGTCAGACCAATCAAAATACTGCATTTCTAATGCATGATTTAACCTCGGGTTACAGATGAGAGGGACCATCCAACCTGTGAGGTTTAGAAGCATCTGTGATGAGGGGAAGCAAGCATAAGTTCACATAACAAGGCACCATTAATGCTAAACAATATATGCATGTGTTGCTTGAATGCCAAAGTGGCACGGTTATCAAAAACACCTTATAAATATGCATAAATGAATGTTTGCCGTTTTTACAGATCATTCTGCTTGTGTGTTTCTTCAGTTATCCGTACAGTGAAGACAGCAGTCAGGGGAAGCAGTACATGAATACCAGATGCCCCGCCTGGTGTGACCGAATCCTGATGTCTCCCTCTGCCAGAGACATGTTGCTAAAGGTGAGCCTCTATTTCTACTCAAACCTCACCACTCTCCCCTCAGCTAAAGAGCAAGTGTCTTTATTAATGTCTCACTCTGCTCCTACAACTCCATCATCCTTGATCTGCATGCCCCTCCTCTCTTTTGGCACTTCACAGATGGAAGGATGAGGTGTCTGTAAATATTAATTAGCAATGATAAGCCATGGGTCCACCCAGACAGTATATATATCCAAACACTGGAGTTCCAGTGGGTCCCGTCTTCCTCATTGAGCGGCAGATCTGTCTTTTTACTCGCAGAGCTGAAGTCTGCCAGTCCCTGTTCAGCTTCAGATCCATCCCATTATTAACGCCAGCCAATCTGCCACCTCTGGAATCTCAGCCAATAAAACCCAGCTTTGTCTTTAGAGGCCTGACCCTTTTGAGCGCTGGAACACACGGGCTTTCATCTGTTAATGTGTGTGAAAGAGATGCAGCAGTGTATTGTACAGTACCAGTCCACAGTGGGGGGGTTACTCAGGAAGTTTGGCTTCTTTTCTTCTTTTGTCCACAACAAATGAGAAAATTCCTTCCTGAGCTTTATTCTTTACTGACTGAAGCATCACAAGGACCCCGCTCCCATCGCTGTGTTACCATAGATTGTAAATTACAGAGACTGCAGAGGCTTAAAATATGGTAGCATGCGGTTTGTTTTTACCCACTTAAAGTGTCAGAATTATATAAGAGGGGATCCACGCGCACAAACAGCTGGTTCGCTGTTTGCTTTTCTTCCCCTCAAGCACCGGTTAATTGTTTGTAATGCAGGGACAGAGTGGAACAGTTAGTGTGTTCACAGATTGGCTGATGATTCACTGAGCGCACACTCTCTGGCTCCGAGCATTACAGATTGTTGAGACATGGGCCCGTAAACAGCCCGGCGTGCGGCGTCATCTATCATGGCACGGTCGGTTAACTTGCCATCATGTTATTTTCTGCTTGCCGAGCCCTAACACGCCAAAGGTTGCCCGCTGGCTGTGCGGCACGGCACCGGCTCCGGGAGCGGCGGTAATGAATGTTTAGCCGAGCGAGCGCTCCCTCTCTGCCGGAGGGCCCCGGGTAATTTGTTTATCTGTCTAAAGATTATGCAGCCCGAAAATCCACAATTTTATGCTGCCTTTGTAAATTATCAAGTGTGTGTTTGATGAATGTGTCTCAGGCTGCAGGAGGCAGCGGCACAGGAGCCGGCTGCCAGACAAATAGAGAGGAGGCAGCGCGTGGCCCGCTAGGAAAGGTAGTGAGGTGTAGGCACACGGCGTGCTGACCCGGCTCCGCTGCAGGATTGGTCTGAAGTTAATTTGGATTTGGCTTTATGGTTCATTCTCCGGCTCTCTGTCTCTTTCTTCTAAAGTGTCAGTGCCGCTCTCCACATCACAACCGGTGGCACACACCAACCTCTGTGTGTGTGTAAGTGGGGGCTGGTGGCTGTTTAAAAAGTCTTTAGTTCAACCAGACAAGTGTGATTTATACTCCAGTCTGCGGATTCATGTGCGAGTGGCTTCTTTGTGTGCAGGCAGTGATATTGAAACACGGTTCTCTCAGATAAGCACTTAGATTACACTGAGAGTGTATTAGGCCGTGAGGCAAATGTCCACTTTGTAAATTGCTCCTGCTTTTCATTTTTCTTCACGCGAGCTTAAAGTTAAAACTCAAAGCTCGAGGTGCGTTCAGCCACAGCTCAGTGCCGCTGCTCTCTGAGAATCGGGGTAACTATAATCAGAAGGAAGAAGTCGGACGTCGAAAAAGGACGTCGGGCTACAATTAGGTTTTTTTCTTCGTTTTCTTTGCCTGCTGTGATTCATTTTTGTGCCTGTAAATTAGCTTAATTTTACTAATAGCTGTGCCTGAACTAAGCATAAACTATTTAACATCCCCTAATTTACTTAGTAGTTATATCGAGCATTTATTTAAAATTTATCTTCATTACGTCCCATTCAATTGGAGAACTCATTGGGTAGCCTGCCTACTCGCCTTCTGGGGGCCACCTCTAATATTTTGGGGGTTCTGGAGGAGGCAGCATATCTTAATTAGCCAAGGCTTTCTATTCTGTCCACCCAATGCTGGTAAATTAAAAAAACAAAAACGGAGATCCATTTACCTCCATGCAACCAAAACCAGCTCCAAAGCGACTGATCGGATCACAGCAGAATTGCGTCCCTTTTCCAACAGACTCTGCATTATTCATATTCTAATGTGGGCTTTTTAACATCACATCACTCCCTAATATTTTCAGCATTTCTCAAGCTGAATGACTAAGTGTCTCTCTGTTAGTGAACAACAGCAGTGCTGATATTATTAAGATTTTTCTGGCACCTAAACAAACACAACATTTTTAATCACGTGTCGATTGTGTAAAACAGCCCCTGTAGGACCTGATAAACTTTTACAAATTTCTAATAACTGATGAAGGAGGAATCTTGCTTTATCTGTCTGCACTTCAGAAACCGAGGACTGTAGTCGCGCATCTTCTAAGGGAGGTTTTTCTTTGTCCTTTTTTCCAGCACACGTGGAACTTAGATGACGGGTGTAAGCTTAGTTCTGGTTTCCTAATGTGTAGGAGAGAAGCTCCTCAGTTGAAATTTACTGTTGAAACTGTTTTGTCCAGACGTTGCCTATTTCTCTTTTCCAGCTGACTTTTATTTTGAAACCAGCTACATGATCCTCCTAATTGTGTTTAATGAAGCTGCTCCAGTTCATTCAATACCACGACACTAACATGTAGTGATTGTCCTGTGTAAGTGCGACCCCAACATTTAGATCGCACCACGTTTGATTTTGTGTCTCTGCAGCCTGAAAATGAAGAGAAGTCTATAGTCTATGATAACATTGGGCCCAATGTCTGCATGGGGGACCACAAGGTAACACAACCTCACTCACTGTGTGCGATTGTTCTGTGATGTGTTGAATATGCTGCTCTGGAGAAGCTGTGATCTGTGACCTGTGTGTCTGCAGTGTAAAACCAGTGTGTTAAAAATATTCTACTTCAGTTTGTACAAATATTTTACTTTAATACTTTCATTTTGAAGTTTTCTTCCTTTTTGGGGTTAATGTGACTGATTAACTTGAACTATTTAGTTGATAAAATCCTGTTTATATATAAGTAATAGCTTTCTTTTCAATTCATGCTTTAAAGAAGAGAATGATAGAGTTACAATGCTTTTGTTTAATTTTTAAAAAGGAAGAAAGAAAGAAAGTTAAGTCATAATTGCGTACTTATTTAAGTTCAGTTAAATTAATCCAGTGCGAGAGGTAAATGAAGCCTAAGTGAGTTGACTAAATAGTATAATTTACCTTTAATCTAGCAAAGCATGCATCACATACTGTTATTATTATCATTCTGAAAACCTTTAACTTTAGGGTTCATCACCTTAAATAAATAAAAGCATTCGGTTGAAGTTTGTTGAGTTCTTCGGGTTGTCACAGTGAAATATGCTCCAAGTGTGAAGCTGATCAGTCTGCAGAGGCTTTTTTCTGACGTCACGTCTAATAGAATCTCTGCATTTGTCTTTATTTGATTACATGTGTTAGAAACCCAATCACCAATCCCTAGTTCATCTATATAACCTGTACAGTTAACAGCTTATCTTATTATTACTGAAGTCTGCAGAGTTTAAGTATAAAACTGGCATGAATTTCACTAGAACAATAAAACAAACTCTAATAATGATCCTGAATTTTCTCCTACTGTTAACTTTATTAAGCTATTACTGTATTTGTCAGGAAAATTCTGCAGAAAGTAGGAAAGTGGAAAAGATTTTTCCCATAAGGTCGGCTGTAGGGCTGAAGTCTGTGTAGTGTCAGACAGAAGGTCTTCCACTGAAAGAGAGGCGCCTTAAACCAGGTCTTTCATCACTACGCGGTGTGACACGGACGCTGTTGTGTGTGTGCGAGGTGACCTGAGCACAGCGGCAGACACTCCACCGTCCCTTACCTCCAAACCACACAACGCCGCTAAAGTCACAGCTGCCTATGTTTAAAAAATGTCCAGTGTAGTTAGCACACAGGCCCCAAAATGCTCCCGGACTGGTATGTGAGTTTAACCTGCATGTCAGAGGTGCTCACAGGGGTGGGTTGGTCGTTTCGTGGGGTGGAGGAGGAGGGTGGGGTGTGTGTGTGTGGTGTGCTTCTTCCAGAGAAGTATGGAGTTTTCTTACCGTGGTTTGTCTCTGTCCCCCCCTCACCAGCCTGTCTTCCTGTCCTTCCGAATAACAGCGGGGGCAGGTAAACCTAATGCAAATAAGCACAAGTGTTGTGTGGTGCAGTGATGTCGTGGTAAATATCATTCTTTTTCTTTATCACAATTCTTCCCATTGTTGCTATTGTTCACTTTGATTTGCTTGACTGTTTTTTTCATGACTTTGCACAAGTGGCAGGCGTGCCTGCTTGAGGAGTTTTATTGTGAAATAAAACAGCGTCGGTGCAGAAATCACAGTCACGCGAGATTGCTTAAAATGCTTCTCTTTTTTAAGAAAATCTCGTGCTGCAGCTCATGTTTGACCTTTTTAAGAATCATCAGATTTGTTTGATTAAAAAATCACTTTGGGTGTTGGAGGAGTAAAACTTTTTCCCACCCCGTCCCTCTCCCCTTCTTTTATTCCTCCGCAGGGAAGTGTTGCCAAAGGGGGGAGAACATATTCCGTGAAGCGCCTCTGTGAGAACACCCGAGAAACAAACAGGACACCGCACACACAGCGCACACACATGCACAAAAACACACCCACACACACACTTTGCACAAGCATACACTGAAGAACCTAGACAGACTTTGTTTCAGCAGTGCTGACCAGTTGCAGTAATCCAGACGCCTCATCCATACGAAAACCCCGACCCGGTTTCTTCCCACGAAACACTCGCCGAGATCTGGACGAGCCACCCGAGGGCCCGGCTTCCAGACGAGATACACATCGCTGACCTCATCGTTGCCATGCAACCCTCCCCCATTCCCCAGAGAAAAGGACAACCAGACGGACGGACGGACAACTCTCTTCCATGCCACAGCCTCATTGCCAAAACTCTAATTGAACACAGTCCTACTACATCCTTTTAGACACCGTACTTGGCATTTTTAGGTATGCCTCTATGTATAGAAGCTACTTTCCATACAGTATGTAAGGTGTTTTAAAAAACAAAAAAGAAAAGTGCAATGCAAAAAAAAGTTGTGTATCTATATTGTTAGGTTTATTTGTACATCGGACAGTATAACATAGACTCGTTGATGGTTTTAGTGCCGTTCTCTTCTCTGACCAAACTTTGCGGTCCCTTTGTTGGAATAGATAGAACTTCTAAGTTTATTTCAACAGTTTCTATATAAATACATATATATATTGTTTTTTTTTCTCTTTTGTTTCATTTTGGTTTTTTGAGTTGTTCTTGTCGTTGTGTGCGCAACACACAGCCATGCCTGACACATCAGTTGAGTCTTGTTTTATATACTGTACTTTTTAAAGAGATAATTTATAATTCTTACCAAAATGTTTATGCTGGAGTGCGTGCGCAGACACAGCGCGGCCGTGTCGGTGTTCCCACAGCCACGCTGACCTTTGAATAAGTCCGTACAACAAGAGAGGAGTGATTTATTGCCTATCCAAGAATGTTTTAAGCAGTGCCATAGACCATGCAGGTGTGTGTATATATATATGTATATATACATATACACATACATATATATTTAAAAAGATAATGTTTCATATATAGCACTCTCACATTATGTCATTCTTATTCTTACTCTAACTTATTTCTATAATATTATGGTTCTGAATGTGATATTTTAGGTAGGTTTGGGTGTCCTTAAAATGTAAACTGTCTTTTTTTGTTTTTTGTCTATTTTTGTTACTGCATTATGGTGCCAAGTATCCTAAACAGGAATGAAGTGTGTCAGAAATACTTAAGATAAATGAGAGAAACTCTAAAAGCAGGGGAGGGGCGTGGGGCAGAGCAGGGAGTCTTGTAATTGTAATTGTTCAGTATGTAGCCTTCAGCAGCCTCCTTTGCAAATAATTGGAGCATTAGAGGTGATGGGAGACTTCTTCTTTTTTTTTTTATCATCATCGATTTCATGTACTACACTACAGGTTTCAGACTCAGTGAAGCCATCAGATTGATCCTCCCTTATTATTATTATTTTTTCTCCATCTAAATCAAACACCAAGTGGAACTGTTTTTGTGCCTGCTGCAGAATTTATGTCATCTTTTGTGATTTGGTCCATAAGACAGAATGTTTATAAAAGTTTAAAAAAAACTAAACAAAAAAAGTAAATGAAACCCTGCTTGTTTTTGTTCCAGCTGCTCGTTGTGAGTATACTGTAGGATTATAAGCTGCAGTTATTATTTTTTCCCTTCACTCCATCCTATAAAAGCAGATAGAGATTTTATTCCAGCCCCCTTTCAGGACGGCCTGGCCTCTACTGTAGGTGATGCAGTTCTCAAAAGCAATAAAACCCATTAGAGCTCAATGCCTATTCTGTCCTCATTCTTTCTCGTTTTTACTTCCTGGTATACAACTTATTTTTTAATAACACAGAGAGAGCTCCACATTAACTATTCGAATACGGGCTTCCACCTCGTGTGCAGTGTTATTGATTTGGTCTCACTTTTTGCGCACTAGTGCCCAACAATACATTTTGTACGCAACTTTTCAGATAAAGAAAAAAAAATTGCGTCAAGTGAAATACGCAATGCAATTTGACCCACGTGTATGAGTCCTCGCTGCCTTTAACTGAGGCCTAAAACACATTTAAATGTCCACGTTAAACAATTCCGAGTATAAAAATGAGAAAAATGTTACATTTTATTATTATTTAACAAATTTAATAGAAATATATTGAAATACATAATTAAGCTTGAAACGTTTGGGGTCTTTTTAATATCAGCCTGTTCCCGCGGCCTCAGTTTAAAGAAGGACTTTTCCTTAAATCCGTCTTTTATGATGGCAGCTGTTCACTTCATGCACGGATTATCAAAAAGTCCAAGGTGGGATTTGAGTTTAATGAGCGCTCATTTGTGATTGGCTGAACTCTCCCATTGATTTGCCTACATAGAACTACCTCGGGTGTAGTTCCGCATTTCAGACAGAGGGGGAGCACTTCAAGTCTCAAGTATTAAATACAAGAACTCTGAACACCAAACAGTATAAAACCGCAATTAAGCTTTTTCTGAGATAAAGTAATAATAATAAAGGCTAAGGATCACTTTCTCTCCAAGAGCAACGTAAAGATTGAACAAAGAGTTAATTAATCTCCATTTATAAGATGGAAAATAAAACCTCCAGCATTGAAAGAGATGATTTATTGTTGGTCATTTATATGTGTTAGAAATCGATGTTTTACCTTTTTGTAATAATCATAATAATTATAATAACGCTTCATAATTTATGGAGGGAATTGTTTTTAAGTAAATAAATGATGATCCCACATAAATTGCACATTTTGAAGAAAAAAAAAATTAAATATTTTAAAAGACTCGTTTTTCCTTACGCGCCACTCTTGTATAAAATATATAAACTTAATAATAACAACATCAGTTAACCCGCTTTCGGTGTCATTGCTGCCAATAAGGAAATTCACTTATCGATAGTCATGAATTTCTCTTTAATTTATATTAAGCCCATACATTAAATCAAAACCCAAAAGAAAAAAAAAAGAAAAAAAAAAAGCTTGTTAAATAATTTATTCATAATACAAAGGGGGTTTACTTTTTTCTTTTTCTTCCTATAACCTTCCGGAAGCGATAATACTCTTTAGATCCAACTTAAAACGATGCTCCGGTTCTCTGCTCGGCTGCGTGATGAGGTAAAACAGAAACTCTGTCAAACTAAATAAAAGTGATGTTAAAAAACAAGCTGTGTGGTTTTTCTTGGTTTGTTTGTTTACAGTCATTATTTACAGCATTTAGCATTTTATACAATAGTGTTTCTGTAATGAAATGTAGAGTTCAATAAAACGTGACTTTACTCAGCAGGAAGAAAAAAATTAAAAAGCGGTATCGGAGGGAGTGATGAGCCCAATGCTGCCACGTTTCCGCTGCTCAAATCATAACTTACTCAGTAAAAAATATATATACACACAATCTCACATACATGTTCATCTGCAGGCTACAGCACAAAAATCAGTCACTCGTCTCAAACCTGCCCCCTTCAAACAGTTTAGTCTGTTGCCTTTTAGGACAGTGGATACCCTGGTTAAACTGAGCTTTAGAAGCGTCACAGGCCCCGTTTGCACCTGCCATTTAAAACATGCGCCCGGGATCTGGATCAGTGTGCTACTAAAATAAACAAAAACAAAACAAACAAAAAAAATCTGTTAATACGTGTAAAATAAAAAACAAAATTTTTAAAAAGTGTGCAATCTCTTCAGATGAACGTATGAATACCGAAATGTAATAAAACATTTAGAGGTCACATTAGGAGCTGAAACCGTGACGTAACGTGACAAGCTGTAAAAATAATGCAACAAGTGCAATGACTTAAAGTGTAAACGTTTTGAGCTCAGCACTGATCCAAAGTAGGGTTGTTTTTTTAAAGAATATTTTCTTTACATTTACACCTGTTAAAACTCTGCCTGTATGCGTAAAAACTCATTTGCGTCTCCAGGACAGTTTCCGTTCCCAGCATCAGTGTCCTTTCAGCTGCATAAACATGTCCTCATCAGTCTTTCTCAAGTCCAGGAGGAAACACAGTTATAGCTCCGCATACAGCAGCGTCTGGGTGAGTTTGGATGCAACCATGTGCGTCTCCGCTTGGCCACCTTTTCGGTTTTTCCCGTGCGTCTGGACGCAGGCTTGGGAGTTTTGCGCATTTTTCTATCTCTGCTTGAGGGTGTGTGGGGGGGTGGGGGAATAAAGGTGATCCCTTAAGAGGCATGTTGGAAATGTCAGGTGGAGATGGGCTCGGAAAGAGTGCGACAAGTCTTCGTGGGGACCCCTTTTCTGGGTCCCTCTCAGGCTGTGGGGATCACAAGGTGTCCGAGCTGTTACTGCAGGGGCTGATCAGCGCCAGGTTGGTAGCCTTGTGCTTTTTCAAGAGTCTCGTGATTTTTTCGTCGTCTGAATTTGGGTCCAGGGGTTTGTTGTACTCGTCGTCCTCCTCGTTGTCAGAGCTCTCCTTCATTTTCTCCGTCTCGGAGTCGTGCTTCTTCTTAGCCGAGGCCATTTCCGCTGCGTGCCTCTTCCGCCATTTGGTTCTTCTGTTCTGAAACCAAACCTGATGAGAAGAGAGGGGAAAAAAAATAAAATAAAATAAAAAAATAAAGACACACAGATGCTCAACAGGTCCAGCACCAGTAACAGAAGCAGGAAATCAGGAGGTCCAAACAGTTATTTATCCACAAGAGAAACAAACAAGCAATAAAAACCCCATTAATAATAAATAATAATAACAATAATAAAAGAAGACGAAGAAGAAGCTGCTTCTACAATTATTTTTAATTACTTTTTAATCCATTAATTTATTTGTGTCCAATCAAAAATAATAAAACAAAAACAGTAACCGATTAAAATGTAGATAAAAATAAGCTTCTTCTGCTTTTCATAATAATAAAAATAATGTTACTGTAGCACAGTCAGTTTCAAAAGTCTGGGGATAAAACATTTCCCATTATTATTATTATTATTATTATAATCATCATCATCATCATCATCTTATTTTATTTTATTTTATTTTATTTTAAATGAAGCTGTAGCATGTGGAAATAACCCTACACTTTCCGGCCTTGTAGCCGAATCTTCCCCAATTAAAGAAATCAAAGCGCAGATCAGCCTCAATTTATTTATTTATTTTATTCCCCACATGCTTCTCAGCCCTGAGCAGGCACGGTTTAGCGGTCTTTACCTTGACTTGACTCTCGGTCATTCCTAAAGAGTAGGCCAGCCGGGCTCTCTCCGGGCCGGCCAGGTATTTTGTCTGCTCGAAAGTTTTTTCCAGTGCAAAGATTTGCTGTCCTGAAAACGTCGGCCTGGAGTGTTTCTTCTTCCCGTCCTTGTCCACCATCATGTTAGCCTGAGCTGAGGAGAGATGCAAAATGTGTGGTTATATTAAGATATATTAAATTTATAGTTGGATAGTAAAACAAACAAACATTGGATCAGTAAGTGTGATGCTCCTGGATGTGTCAGACCCAACTCTTCGTGATTACAGTTTTAATGCCACTGTGATGTTCATTCAGCGCCCTGTGTGGAAGTCTCAGTGTCTTTTCTGGTACTCTGACGTGGCTGTATAACAACACTGACCCTGTGGCACAGCATTCATAACGTGCAACCTGTGTTACATTTGTTGTCGTGATTGTGTGAAACGCAGGGCAGGTGTACTTCTTGTAAGTTGGGGTTGTTTTCTCTCAAACGGGCCTCTTATTAACCAAAATAACCTCTGAATTCCAAAGAAAACATCACAGGGGAATGTCGGCTTCTCCCAAATGTAAACTATTCATTATATGTATAAAAAAGGCAGCCCAGAGGCACGCTCAGACGGGACTTACTAGGACAAGGAACCCGAGGGTCCCTCCACGGAGAGCCTTGCATCACCCCGGGCCAGAAGATGGGTGCCCGCCCCGGTAGCTCGGCCAGTGGCTTCGGATACCGCGACACCGCCGGGCTGAAGTACATCCCCGCCGCTGCTGCGGCCGCGGTGGTTGCCAGGCCGTTTATCCGCGGAAATCCGGACAACAGCTGCCCGGCGGTGGTAATTGGTCTCCCCAGGATGTCGCTTATTCCGTGCGGGGTCCCCCCGGAGAACTGAGAGTTGAGGTTGGACAGCGGGGGCGCCTTGAAGCCCGCCGGGCTCTGCTGCAGCGCGTACGGGAACAGGGACGTCTTCATCTCGGTCATGTTGTGCAACGCCGCCAGCGGGGTGCTGCCCAGTACGAAAGCACTCTGCCGGTTAGCCTCCATCTGCCCGACCGCTAACATCTGTGAACATGAACCGCCAAACTCGCTGGGACAGAAACTGGAAGGAAACTAGCGGGAGTAGTAAAGGCGAGTAAATGCAGGCGCACAGCGGACTGCTGGGATTCAGGAGCCTGGCCACTTCTGCCGCCTTTTCCAAAGTATCCTGGGCCCGGAGGAAGACTCTTGAAATGTTAGAAAAAACTTGAACGAAAGCGAAGTTCTCTCTCGGGAGTGAAGAGCTCGGCAAAAACTCCAAAACGCCTCTCCGCGTGTTTGCTTTGCTCGGAGTCTGTCAGCTGGGAGAAGGCTGCATGCGTCCGCCTCAGGAATCCTCGCGGAAATCGGACGATCTGATGATGGTTTTGATGGGAACCATTAAAAGGCTCGGCTCGCCTTTTCATAAATTCACTCGCTCTATGCTGGGAGTGAAGCGGGAGTCGCTGATAACAGCGCAGCCACCTGCACGAGCGTTATTCCCATTGGACAAGGCTGAGTGAGACGGCGCCCTGATTGGAGGAGACATAAACCCCGCTGCTGGACGGATGCTGCCTTGACGTGCTGTCGGAAATAAGACTGTTCCCCCCACTCCAGTAAAGATGCATATCAACGGTGCCTATTAGGACTGAGTGGATTTGTTTTTGATAGATGGAGATGCATGTTGGTGATACATTTCAGAGCAAGTCGGCAACAGAAAAGTCTGGGAGCGTAGCATATTGTTTCATTAATAATGATAACACTTTAATACTGCTGGCATAGAAATGATCGTTTTTTTGTTTTTTGTTGTTTGTTTTTTTAAAAAGGCGCTTTTTAAAAAAACAGTATTTTCTGGTTTTACATTAGAGAGACGAGGCCTGAGGGTTTTTTTGTTTGTTTTTGTGTGTGCAGAAGCTAAACGTTGCTTAACATAGTGTAAAGCTGAATTAAGGATTTATTATTGTGGAAACCATCGTGTCAGAGGAACCTTGAATGCACCAACAGCCCCACTCCATTAAGATATTTGGTGGTGCTGTTAATGATGCGTCCTGCGCTGTGGAAATCATTGTTTCCACGTACTGCAACACTCACTCACTTACATTAAAACCTGTTAGCGCAGAGTACGGGAGGAGGTTAAAGTAGAAACGGAAACCGGACGAAGACTTCTTTGGGTAATTTCAGTGAAACGATTGTAATAATAAATATAATAATAAAAGTAATAATAATAATAATAATAAGTTCCACCCTTCGCTCGCAAAATTAGTTTTTATGAAGATTAAATTTATTTTTCTTGATATTTTTCCGTTATTTATAAATGTTTTTTTCTTCTTTCACTTTTGCACAAAAGTATCAATTTTGATACCGATTCCGACAAAGGCTACTTTAGTAAATGACATCGAATAAATTATTAGTATTATTTTTTTATTAAAAAATACAACTTGTAATTCGACTAAAATATTTATCTATTTATTTATTTTATTAAATATGACGTGTTTGGGGTAACTCGAAGCAAAGTAGCTGTCGCTGGCCTTTTATATGAACCATCAAACAGCAGAAGCTCATTAAAGCACAGCCTGTTTTTATTTATTTTATAAGAGTGAGATAATTTGGTGTTTTTCAACACAAACTGCGTTATTACGGTGAAAGTGTGCGAGAAAAACGCGCCGGGCTCCAGTCATCACTCTGAGTGCTGTAATATTTTATGGAGATGTGAGAAGGTTGTAAGAGTGAAATATGGCCACGTTAGCATTTGAAAGGCCTCAGCAAATGCACACTGCTGCTCATTTGCTCACCGGGGGAAGGACTGAGGATTTTAAAAGCTTTTTCTTTTTTTCTTCTTCTCTGTATTTTTTTTGCTGAAGCTCGAGGTGATTCATGATTTTGGCTGTATTTCTTCAAGCTGGATGCAGTGCATGAACGTCTAATTCTATAAACAACGTCTCTATTTCTAGATTAAATATATATATCTCTATCTATCTAT